GAGGCACCGTGCAATTGCGTGATATTGATTATCAAGTATTGTGATTTCAGAGATTTTTCATATGTCACGCTAGGAAGGCTACATCCTTTATCGATCCACGATTACCTACAGAAGCCGCTCATCTACGAACATTGCTAGACGAGGCTCCCGTTCCGCCACCCAGGCCGCAACAAGCGTCCGTAACCGCTACTCCCGACATACCTGTGGCCTACAACGACAAAGTAGTTGCATTCCTACGTCAGCCTAATATAATGGATATTCTAAAGGAGAGGCATTCTGCACTGGGACAAAATATCGCGCTTCGAGAGAAAGTTAATACTATAAGAGTCGAAGGGACTACAGCGTTACAAAGATGGGGCCACGACGTTCCTTTAGCATTGTTGCTAAGGTAGAAAACGAATGCTCCAATGTATATTTTTTATCGCGTTATACATGTTAGGCTCAGGCCGAGAACGTTCGCTAAGCGGAAAAACCGACCACAACGCGATTTGACTTTTTAGACTCAGCCACAAGACGAAATTTATGTCGTGGCACTTGTAAACACGCTCACAATGCGTTTTGGCACATTCAAAAGGGCTATGTGTTGCGATTCTTTTCATAATCGACCAAAACACGTTCTGGCAATGTGAAAATGCCACAACGCGTTGTGGATGTTTTTTTTTTATACGTCGTGGTTGCACCAAAACGCGTCCATAATGCGTTGTGACATTTTTACATTACTAGAACGCGTTTTAGTCAGTTATGAAAAGAATCTCGCTTTGTGGTCTTTTTGAATTTGCCAAAACGCATTGTGAGTGTTTTTGATCTTTGAGCCTAACATGTATACACGTATATACGGGGTGTCCCAAATCACCTTGTAACTTGAACAGCTCTTGTCTGAAACATTTTTTTATTTACGTAATATTCACCTAATATTGTTCGAGATATTTGAAGAAAGCCGAGTAGTTTGTTCAATATTTAACTTAAGATATCTCAATAATTGTTTGTCAAAGAGAAGAATGGTACAGGTCTTGGTTTGGTCTCAAGAATCGGCTACTACAATACAGAGTTTCATTTTAACTTGAAATCTCCTTGGAATTTTCACACACAATTTGCAAAAGTTAAGGCACTATTGTAACAGCATATACTTGAGACTAAATTGAATAAAAAAAGACCTGTATTATTTTTTCCTCTGACAAAGTTTCCTCTGACAGTTATTGAAATAGCTCAAGTTAAATATTGAAAAAGCTACGAAGTCTTTGAATATCTAAAAAATACTAGGTAAATAAAAATATTTCAGACCAAAGTTGTTGAAATAAATCAATAAAACAAGCACAATGAAAAATAGAGGGTTTCATGTAAGAAATTGAATGTGACTTTTATGTGACCTACGGCTGTCCAAGGTCAAATCAATGCCACCATTCTGTTCCCTCACAACTTTTGTATGGAACATAATTCTCTAAAATGTGTAGTTTTCCAAAGAAGCGCACGCACGCACACAATAATATCGTGTTATATCATTTACAGTTTATTCGAGCAAGAAATAATGTCCTATGTACCTGGTAGTATGGGAAGATCACCGCTCGGCAGCCCGCATGCATCGCCCGGGCTGACAAGAGCTTCTGCCAGAGCTCCTGCACCGTACAGGAGAGATTTCGAAGCTAAGCTACGAACTTTTTATCGAAAGCTGGAGAGCAAAGGTTATGGGCAAGGGCCGGGCAAATTGAAGTATGTCTCGGTGTATTTATTGTATAGAGGAAAGTCCCCTTATATACTCGTATATGAGATAGGCTTCTAATATGAAATAGCGGAGTTTCTGATAAATCAATAGGCATCATCTGTTGGTTCCACCATGAATTTATTGCCCTTGGAGTGAGATCTGTTTAGTAGAAAATTGATTATTAGTTCGTGTAATCGTTGTGAAAAAGATTTGTGATTGAATTTGAACGTTAAAAACCTATCTCATATTAGGATCCTATCTCATAATAGAGAACTTTCCTTTATGTATTGTATAGTACCGGCCAAAATTATATTACTTACTTTTAGATTTTTTAAGTATAACTAATTTCAAAGTGCACAAATGAAAAATTCGAAAATCGTTATGTATTTTGTCAAAGAACCCCGCACTAATCATATAGGAAATTGGATCTCGGTTAAATTGGCTAGTTTTCACATATGTTGTAGCTTATGACCTGCTGAACAAAAAAATATAATGGGCTCAAGCTTAAATAATGGCTAGTTACCGAGCTACAGCCAGTCGAACATGGAAAATTTGGGCTCCGCGGGTCTTGTTTGGAAATACTTTGAAGCATATTAGGAAAAAATGTTTCAGACAAAAGTTGTTTGGTTCGATATATATTTGTTTGGCTCGAAATAAGACTATATTTCATCATATAGTGTCTTTGAAAAACTCTTGACATAAAAATGCGCAATGAAAAATGGGGGTATCCATTTAAGAAATTGAAATTGACCTTCATGTGACCTTCAAATGATTATCCAAGGTCAAATTAATGGCATCGTCTTGTGTCTCCCTTCAAACCAAATAACTTTTGTCTGAAACATTTTTTCCTAATGTGCTTCAAAGTATTTCCAAACGAGACCCGCGGAGCCCAAATTTTCTATGTTTGACTGGCTGTTGCCCAGTAATTATTTAAGTTTGAACCCATTACATTTTTGACTTGTTCAGCAGGTCATAAGCTACAACGTACGTGAAAACTAGCCAATTTAACCGAGATCCAATTTCCTATATGATTAGTGCGGGGTTCTTTTATTACCCTTTTCGTACAAGATGTACCTGTTATTAGAAATCTACTTAAAAATTTTGAGCACATTCGATACGCTTTGACGAAAGTTATCCTCAGAAAACCTAAAGGTGATACTTTTGGCCGGTACCATATGTGTGCGTATATGTCAAGCTTGACAGATATTCCCAGAATTGTATTTATCGAGAAATTCTTATGTTACCTGCACAGATTGCACATTAGAAGGGAACACTTGCTGGAAGATGCTTTTACGCGTATAATGGCGGCGTCAAAGAAGGATCTGCAGAAAGGAAAATTGGTAGTCATCTTCGATCACGAGGAAGGATTGGATTATGGCGGGCCGTCCCGAGAATTTTTCTTCCACTTGTCGCGCGAACTATTCAATCCATACTACGGATTGTTCGAATATTCGGCCAACGACACTTACACGGTCCAAATCTCGCCGATGTCGGCCTTCGTGGACAACTATCACGATTGGTTCAGATTCTCGGGCAGAGTTCTGGGTCTAGCATTGGTTCACCAGTACCTGCTCGACGCGTTCTTCACGAGGCCGTTTTATAAAGCTCTTTTGAGGATACCGGCGAGCTTGAGCGACTTGGAGAGCTTGGATCAAGAATTTCACCAGAGTTTAATGTGGATTAAAGAGAAAGACATAAGTATCGAGCCGTTAGAATTAACGTTTTCAGTAACGGAGGAACTTTTGGGACGAGTCGCCGAGCGCGAGTTGAAGCCAGGCGGGAGAAATATCGCGGTTACTGAGAAGAATAAAAAGGAATATCTCGAGAGAGTGGTACGCTGGCGCCTCGAGCGTGGCGTCGCGGAGCAAACGGAATCGTTGGTTCGCGGCTTCTACGAGGTGGTGGATCCGCGTTTGGTGTCCGTTTTCGATGCCCGCGAGTTGGAGCTGGTTATCGCAGGTGCGGCTGAAATCGATCTAAACGATTGGCGAACGCACACTGAATACAGGAGCGGTTATCACGATGCGCATCCAGTGGTGGAGTGGTTTTGGAGCAGCATAAGCCGATTCACCAATGAGCAACGTCTAAGATTACTGCAATTCGTTACCGGCACCTCGAGTATTCCGTACGAAGGATTCGCGGCTCTGCGTGGCTCCACAGGACCAAGGAAATTCTGTATCGAGAAATGGGGAAGACCAAATAGTCTGCCAAGGTATTTAATCTTTTTCTAATTCATTGACAATAATTGCATTAAGCATTTCGTTTTTTAAATCTCTCTTTTTAAAACGTCTGTAATAAATTCACAGTGTCTTTGTTCTATCGCCATTGTCGTTTCAGGGCTCACACATGCTTCAATCGCTTGGACCTGCCGCCTTATCCTACGCCCGAGATTTTATATGAAAAGCTGCTGTTGGCTGTGGAAGAGACAAATACCTTTGGTATAGAATAAAGCGACGAATTGAATTAGTAATTGTAAAGAATTTATACAATCGATGGAATTCTAACTATATCTGGATAGTTATCCAGGTTGCATTTTCGGCATTAAAAATAGGACAAGATTTTGTATAGGCCTAACAGTTTGTGAATTATGTGCAACATTACTAATTCAATTTAATCAAATCGGATATGGGATGTAAATAACAATCTGCAGCTTCACAATCTCTCAGAATCTCTTTCGACGTGACGTTTAATTTATTGCGTAATGAAATAGCGTAATGATTGAATATTCTCTCTTTAAACTTCGCAAATCTATGTGATTTGTTGACGTAGAAGATCACGCTTGTTAATCCAATCATTGGGTGTGTTCCCATTTCCTCTCAATACTACTGATAATATTTCCAATAGTTTCGAGCATTTAGTCTCAATGAAAAGGTGTGGATAGTTGCATTTAGAAAAAAATAACTGCTATGTTATTACAAAGGATACTAAAGGTTACATTTGGGAATGATTTTCTCAGAAGTTGAATTTAGTAATAGCGTCCGGTACTTGCGGTAGCACTGAGAGGAAATGGAAACGCCCATTATGTATACACTGAGATCTCGTAAATTCTACAATTCTTCTTGTTTCAGTTTTCCTCAAGTTAACGGAGCGAATTCCTTAATTTGTTCCTCCTTTTCCTCGCATTTTCTGTCCTGTTTTAAAAAAATAAAAAACAAACTAGACTTCCTTGCTAAACTTATAAATATTATAAATCTATAACAATTTTAACAAGAATAAATGCATTCTAGAAATTATTTCTTCAGCGTGAGCTTCTAAAAACAAAAAGATTAAATAAATTAATTTAAATGCGAAGAAGGCATATGCTGTTGCTATTATTGTTGCTACCATCAAATTACCATCCAACATTACTCTATCTCTGCTACTGTTAATAATCATGTATTAGTGATATTGCTACTATTACTACCACTACTACTGATAGTGATATTGCTGCTGCTACTACTACGATTCCAATTATTACTATTATTTCCACCATTGTCATTAATATTGTGATATATTATTTTAACATCATTATTATTACTACTTTTGACCTCAATGGAATTCAAAAGACAATACCATCAGGATCACATACTTTGGCTTGATAGCTCCGCTAATTTTCTATTGTACACCTGTACATTTTCATATGTATAATATCTTTCAATATCTTTATTCCGAGGTATATCGAGATCCAAGTGTACCGTTGGTTAAAACATTTAGTTGTGGCCGTGACCGGTGTTTCTAGTCCACGAGCTGGAAATTCACATGCAGCTGCCTTTTAATGTATCTTAACATTCCGAGAATTCTTGTTAGTTACACCTATTTAAAAGAGTTTATAGAGCAAGATTGTTAAAGCAGGGGATAAATATCACACTTCTGTAAGTTAGCGATTTTTTAAAAGTTCATTAAAGAAGCACCTTTACCTTACATCTACTTTTTATCGCTTAGTCATAATAATATAATGTATAGATCTTTTGAAAAACTTTGCACATAGTATAAAAGATACTAAGGGATAATTGATACACGAGAAATAGAGACTTATTACGATACCTTTTTATTGAGCAAGTATGTTATTATTTATTATAAATTGCTATATGTATATATGGCAAAACTTGTGTATTTGTACAGCTACTCGTATAATTGTTATAATATCATATAATTGTATATAAGCGATAAATAAAATGCAACGAACATAAAAACAGTATTTGTAACGAACAATTCTACTTAATTAATATAAGTTTATTTACATTAATTATTTTAAACAATTTATTTTATGATTATCAGTTATGAAGTGAACACAGTGAATACAGTTACGCACTCCATTAACTGTATTTAGTTAACTGCTATTTATCTCTTGAATAACGCACACAGTAACATAACATTTTAAAGTTGTTATTAATATTAAAATAACATAACATTTTAAAGTTGTTTTTAATATTAAAATATATTCTTGTCCACTCTTGTCTATAATACGATCAAGATGTTCCTGTAAATTCAATATTTAAATGTGCTTTATTACATGCGTATTTCTATTTTAGATTATACAGGGTGTCTCATTGTAAATAATCCACGCAGATATCTCCAAAAATATGTAAGATACGGAGAAACGTTTCAAACAAAAGTTGTTTGGTTCGAAGGGGGACATAAAATGGTGCCATTAGTTTGACCTTGACGAGTTGCTTGAAGGTCACCTTCAATTTTTTTAAATGAAACCCTCTATTGTTTATTATACTATCTTATTCTACTAATTAACGTGAACAACTTTTGTCCAAAACATTTTTTGATTTACCTAACACTTTTTGAGATATTCAAGAGAAAATTTATAACTTTTTCAATGTTTAGCTTAAGATATCTCGATAACTGTTTGTCGGAGGGGAAAGTAGTACATGACCTTTTTACTTGATTTGGTCTCAGGAATATGCTGTTGCAACATTGCTCTAATTATTGAAAATTTTTGTGTATGTAAATTTTTGTGTATATTACAATACTTTAAAATATTTGTATTTAGTACATTTATCTCTTTTTTTTCAGACAATTGAACACTAATGATTTTTTACTACCTCAATCATTGGATATCATTTCCTTAAACTGGATGTTGCGGCTTTGTTTTTAATTTAAGATTCTTAATGTCAGTTCGAAAAAGACATTTCTGTCGCATTTGATTCTCAAGGATATTCTCCAACTTTACTATATCACTTTTGTATTTCTCTTCCAGTTGCAACATTTCTTCCTGCAACAGCGAAAATATCAGTAAAGGTGAGATAAAATATTTGCCAGATACAAACGTGATTTACTCGTACATCTGACATAATGCATTGCTTGGATAATTTCTGAAGTTTTGTTTGCTCTTCCACTAAAACTGTTAAAAAGCTCAGCTTTTGCGTATGTTCCCGAATCAACTTGTTAAATATGACTAATTCCTGTGCGTAATTTTCTTTAACATCTGTAATAAAAATATAAATATATATGAAATTAAAATAGATTATTATATCATAGCACACATAGCTTACGCTTGATTCGTCTAGTGAAATACATCGTTGTCTCGCTCAAGTTGGCTTTAATATCAAATACTAATCGCCGAAGTATCGTCTCGTATAAATTATTTAAGGATATATTCTGGCCAAATTTATTCATTATTTTCAACTTAATCTCGTCTTTCAAATTTTTATTATTGACACGCATGTGCTTGCAATCGAATTTAATTCGCTGAAGATGCATTCGGGCATGTCTGCAACATGTTTCGTTATAAAATCCATAAGATTTTTCAATATTAGTTTAATATATTTTAATGACTCGCTGCGTAAAATTTTACGTACTTGTGTTTAGCATGCAATTCAAGTGTTTCCTCGTGTAACTCTTGTATTCGAGCGTATAATTTAGATAATTTTTTCTTATCAAACATTACGCAATCGTGCACCTTCGATGGAATATGTGACTCTTGAAAGTACTGCAGCTGATGTAATTTTATTAACACCGTGACATCCACGTCGTTTAATTTTCGCTGTTTCTTAAGCTATTGAACGGAGCAAATGATTATGATTGATCAACTGATTGATTAACTTGAAGCAAATAATTTTTAATAGACGCATCAAGTATGGAATACCATAAACATTTGTAGATCGTTTTCGTTCTTCTTCAAACTGCTCTCTATAATTTTCAGTTTCTTCGTATGAATTTGAATCTCCTTATGAAGGGCTTCCATAACTCGTTGCACATCTCTGATTTCGTGTTCGCATGCGTATCGCTTTTCTCTAATCGTAAATGCTAAATCATATAACGTTTTATCACATCCCGGTGGACATACGCTTTCATCGAGATAAATTAACTCGGCTTCTCCATTGTCGACATCGTCCGTTTCATCCGAATCCGTCTCGGTCGTTGTTGTAGTGGTCTCTGGAACAATAAATGTCAAGTATACTTCAGCCATATGTCGATAGCGATACATTTTTTTCAAATCCAAGCAGTTGGACCCCACTCTTCTTGCAAAATGTTCTTATTACCATCTTCTTCCTTCGTTACTTTATACTTCTTCCTCAATATTTTACGTAAGAAACGACGGAACTTGTTGTCATTTATTTTATACATGTATTCGGAAAGGATGTCTTTAATCTGATTACGTAATTTGATAATTTCCTTGGCTTTAATATCAATCTTGTCGGTTGCTGCATGTATCTGAAAATATCAATTATTATACAGGGTGCTCCCGGGTTAAATGGCCAAACTTGAAAGATGTATTTAGGACCTCAAAGCAAGAAAAAATTTCCTCCGGAAATATGCTCGTAAACGTTCCGTTCAAGAGACATTGACGTCTGAAGTTATGAACTTTTAGGAATGAATAATTTCGAAATATGACTATTTCTTTGCTTCAGAATTCCTGGTCTGGTAAATATGGCTTCATCTGTCCATAAAATGTTTTGCGAGAATTGTAAATCATAATTTGTTTGATTTAAAAACCAATCGCAAAACATACAGTACGACGGAACTTTGTTTATGAAATCGAAGGTCATTGATAGGCTTTCATTTGCATGGTAAACAAAGCGTCGTATCATCGTACTTAGTTCGTTGAATGCTTTCGTCGAATAAACTGGTATGAAGTGCCTGTTAATGATCTTCAATCATTAAAACGGAGGATAGTGCAGGCGTGTAACGAAATTACAGACGCACAATGTCAGTCAGCCACTCATTCTGTCATCGATAGGTGCAATGCATGTCTCCAAGCTGGAGGCTATCATTTTGAACAAAGCGTTTAATAATTAAATTTTTATTATTAAAAAGCAATAGAGAGGATAAATCTAAATTATTTCGAAATTATTCATTCCTAACAGTTCATAACTTCAGAAGTCAATGTCTCGTGAACGGAACGTTTACGGGCATATTTCCAGAGGAAAAGTTTCCTTGCTTTGAGGTCCTAAATACATCTTTCAAGTTTGGCCATTTAATCCGGGAGCACCCTGTATATTACGTCTTCTTTTATGCGATTGATATAAAAATAGAAAAATTAGTAAAGTATATTAACTAACTTTCTGCCTCACCGCTGCCACCTCTTCCGAGCTACGATTAACTTGGTCGTGCAGCACATTCTCCATTGTCTCGTACTCTTTCAAGATAATATATTCCTGACGGAGCGTCAACAGAAATAAATTAAGATTGACGTTCTCGGCAACGATGTCCAATCTATCGCGCTCCAATATGCCCAATTTCTTGTCTAAATTTTCGCAGCTGGTTTGCACGTGTCGCAGCATGCAATCCTGTTCGTATATCTTGCGTAGCACACGAGAGGATTTCAGTTCTCGTTCCCACGGACTCTCGGTGTTGTCGCTCAAATAAAGTGACTTCATATTATCTTGGACAGCAGGTGGAACTTTTATTTTTCTTTCTGTAATGGGAAATAACGCGAACGGTCTACCAGAAATTTTTGCGTTTTCTGGAAATTTTTCATCAAGTAGCAGCACCTCGTATTCTTCATCTGAACAACGAGGTGTTTGCACCGGTAAAACTGTCGTCCGTCTTTGCCTATCTGCCTTCAATGTATATTCCTCGATCTATACGTGTGCAAAAATTAAAGCATACTCTTCAGAATACAACTTAAACACAGTTTACCTTTTTTTTCTTACTTTGTCAGTAAAATGTAAATAAAGGAAAGTCCTCTATTATGAGATAGATATTCTAACGTGAGCTAGTAGGTTTTTAACGTCCAAATTCGATCACAAATCTTTTTTCGCAACGATTACACGATCTAACAATGAATTTTCTACTAAACAGATTTTACTCCAAGGGAAATAAATTCACGACGGAGCCAACAGATGATGTCTATTAATTTAGCGAAAACTTCACCATCTCGTATTAGGAGCCTATCTCATAATAGGGGACTTTTCTTTGTTAAAGCGCACCGTTATTTTCTTCTCGGGAAATTCTATATTGACATTTAACGCAGGAACAACTGGCAAAGGTTTCACACTTTTTAACGGTATCTCGGCGTGAATTTTTTTGAGGGATTTTATTGACTGTAGAACTTCCGCGTGTAAATGTTCCTTTTCCGTTCTCACAGCTGTCAGTTTTGTGTTAAAAGCTTCTTGCTGATAATAAAGCTGCAGAGATCATCAAAAGCCTCTTGTAAATGGTAAAACTTGTGGCATAGAAAATAGTGAATCATAACCAAGAGTAAATAAGTGATTTAAAATGTTTCTTCAATCTGCCGAACCTTTTTTCGGCTATTTAACAGTTCCTTATATTTTGAAGAGAGAGTATCTCGTTCTTCCGACAATAAATTGTAAGACGAAGATGTTTTTAATTTATAATCACCGATGGTTCTTTTCGCTTCCTCTATGGCTAGTACATCGTGCATATGAGTGATAGATATATCCGGTTTCTCGTTGTATATAATTTGCCACTGAATAAAATAAATCCGTGTTTAAAATTGCAATAATTATAGTGCGCACACTTGATTTTATACTACAGTATTTGTAAGTTATACTAACTTCCTTTTCGCGTTGTTCCAGTTTTGTCTTTCTCAAGTGATATTTACGTAACATTTGATTTAACTGAATTGCCAGGCTGCTGTCGATGTCTTCGTAATTTATACCTTGTAAGAAATCCGTAATTGGTCTCGTTTTCGCTACCTCAATTTTCTCGTCCGTTTCCGCTTTATCTTCTTCTTCTTCTTCTTGCTTCTCCTCGCAATGTTGCACTTCATCATCCATTATACTATTCGTAGACGAAGATATGCTTTAGACTACACGAGTTGCTCATATAAATAAAATATTTGAGCACACGAATTACCTGTTTCCATTTGCTTCTTTCTCGGACACGTGCGTATGTTTTGTCGTGTTAATATGCGGCAAAGTAACGTCAATGTCCAAGACGCGTTGGCGCAAAGAATATACGACGCAATCTGGTTTCCTGTGTCAGTACGGATATGAAGTCATTCATATTGAAATTTTTAAGGTAGTTCTTACTCACGATATTTTGCAGACGACAAATGGTAAGCACGTAACCGGTTGAACAAAGTGATCTAGAAGCTTTTGTAATCCAAGCTCGCTCTTCTCCACTTTGAACGCTAATTTCTCGCGTATCGCAGCCATTTCCGTATCTAACTCTTTGTTTAGGTCAGCTGTAATTCTAGGATCTAGCTCCAATTCTTTGTAAGTTATTTGATGAGACTTCGGTAGCGCGTTATTCCTGTGTAAAAGTACGAATTAATACGACACCTTACTGGACATTGCTTAACGATTGTATTACGATATATTCAGAGTTATCTAAACCTTTCCACAATCTTGCTATATTCCTCGCTTAATTTCAGCAACAACTCCAAAGTCTGTTGTTTACTCTGCTTTGCTGCAGTTGCAATTCTATCATATTCAGCTTGCTGAATCGTCTCTTCCAGACTTACATAATCAAGTTCCTCAATGTCTTCGATACTAGTATGCGGCTGTATCATCACATCAAGAATTTATTCGTACATTCGCGAGAGATTAAATCAGTATATCAACTTCAAATAGGGATTGTACAGAATACTAATAAGCATCAAAACATTTAACTCGTTTATCGATTTAAAAATATGTTGAGTGAGGCTTATTGTCGCCAGTGGTAGCTTAACACGAGGAAGTTTCTTCAAAAAATTCGACCAAACTGGCATAAAAGATATATATTTAAATCACAACGTTTCGACCTCTTATCAGGTCCTGTTCAAGTACAATCTAATGTTGACTGAACAACGGGATGAGTATATGAGTTTGTGACAGCAAATTTATATCGTCAAATGTGTCTCGGTAGTCAGTAAAATTTGGAGGAAAATGTTGGAAAATTGAAAGGAAAAATTGAAAAATATTTAACATCGCTACAAAATTTTACTGACTACCGAGACACATTTGACGATATGAATTTGCTGTCACAAACTCATGTACTCATCCTGTTTCGGCATAAAATTAAATTGTTCAGTCAACATTAGATTGTACTTGAAAAGGACCTGATAAGAGGTCGAAACGTTGTAATTTAAATATATATCTTTTATGCCAGTTTGGTCGAATTTTTTGAAGAAACTTCCTCGTGTTAAAAATATGGTATTTACTGTTCCACCAAAGAACTACGTTTAAAACTGAAAAGTAATCGGTGCGCAGAACGTGTTAGAAATGGTATATAAAATTCACACATTAAACCACTGGGCTATCTACACACTCGAACCCCATTCGCTTTCTTAATTCTTATTGATTTATGTCATATGGGTCCATGATTTAATTTTTATCAGGCATTAAGACAAACTTATATAATTCCGTGTTTTAACGTGTGGTACGTATTCCTTTTCTCATATAAGTCGTTTGTATTTTTTCGCCGAATTCACGTGGAAATATTTTTATTTTAGTTGTATTTCTTTACACTAAGAATAATCCGGAGTGGATCGAAACATTTAAATTTTACATTTTACCATTAAATTGTCTGCGACTATTTTAAAGATAACTTGCACTGGTCTTTTCCACCCTTGGCTGGTTTTAATTTTTATTATTAACTGTTCAAATGTTTTGAAATGTGATTAATAAAGGTGCGCACCAGAGACAAAATCTCTTTGGTCTTTTCAAATTCAACTTTTTCGGGCGGCGTGTTGTCGTTTATTTCGTAAGAAAATAAATTCCCGTCGTATCCGCATGTGAACAGTATCCTTTGGTCGCGACTGAGGATCATTTTTGGGATGTAACCGTTACAATTATCGTGCATCGGAAGTGTCCAGTAGTCTGAGAGATCCGTATAATTTTCGAGTTTCCATCTGCAAACCCGTATTTGTCCATCTTCCATTCCCAGAAACAAGTACTTTCTTCCTTTACTAGGTAACATGGGACGAAGAGATACCGTAAGGGCAAGAGTACTTTTTGTATAAAATATGCATGACAATTAATTTTATCTACGCTTACTAGAAGAGGCAGCTTCGTATTTCTGCGTCCTCCGCGTCATGTATTACAGTACTTTTAAAAGGCTCCTTCCCGACGGTCTCAGTACTTTCCGGACTTGGATATTCGTACATATATCCCGCATCAAATCCTGCCATCGACAACCAAATAGTATCGCGATCAATATATTGCGCTAGTAATATCTTATTTGGTATTTTTGGCACATATATTTCTGGTAATGGCTCTTCCTCTTCTATACCTGTTGTAATTAATTTTTCACTTTAGCTCTATCTTTGTTTTCACTATTTTAAATTGTATAATAAAGTTAGAACAATACACTATCGTTTCAGAGAGATGAAAAAATGTGTAATACAATGACCGAAAAATGCCTCTTCGTTAATTTCTAGTCCGGGACTTTCAGCTATTAATTGCTCTATCTCTTGACGTTTCTTCGCTATCTTTTCTTTCTTCTCTTTTTCTCGTTGCAAGCGTATTAATTCTCTTCGAATGGCAGATTTTACTGAATGAAATTTGAATGCTTTCGGTCGACACTGTACGAGTTCATACGAAGCAGTGGTGTAGGGTTGAGGTGTGCTTGGTAATACAACTTCTACGCAATCACCTTGCGAACATCCAATTAATAATGTCGTTTCCTGTAAAATGAAATGAAATTAAGAACGATTACGAATACGTTTAGTGTAAATCGTAAAATGTATTATTTACACATTGCGGCTTCCACGTAAAACACGTGACTCCCGATGGTACTGCGATGAACCCGATTGCTGTAACGATGGGAAACATTTCGGTCACTGTAATGGTGAAAATAAACACAGTTGAATCTTCACTACCAGTCACCAGTAATCTGAAATATTCTTCCGTAGAGATTATTCTCGTAACTGAATATGCAATAAATATTAAGATAATTATAATCGATAATAATATCTAATGAAAGATATAAGATTGTTAAGATCATTAACATCATTAGAGAGTGTTTTTCTGTACCTGCACGATGGATTTAGAGACATCGCGGTTATTGCCATTTTGTGTGGTTTTATGACTTGAATCAGCCTGACATAATCCCCTTTTACATTGTCATTGGCATCGGCTACCGATATCGCTACAACAATTATACGAATAACACCACTTTCGAAACCACAAGCGAGTGTCGAGCCTGTTGCTTCAATCTTGCAAGTATATGAAAGAAATTTATATGTTAAAAAAATTTTATATAAAGATACTTAAGTGTGTAGAGAAAATAAGATTTTTTTACGGGATTGCGTAATAAAATTAGCGATAAAGTATCAGAAAACGTATTATCATTACTTCAACAAACATAATTTCACATGTTAATAATTATTCGTACATATGTTGCAATTAATTATATAATATTAAAAGAATGTTTAAACAAAATAGATACAATAACACTAATTTACCCGGCATGGGAACCAGACGACTTGACTACCAATGTCGTTAAATTTGTGCACCAGAATTAACTTTTTCTTTAGGTAATTATAAATGCACAGCTGCCCAGCTTTACTAAGGGTAGCTATAAAAGGACCCCACGTTGAGTTATCCATATCGACTACAGCTCCTGCATGACATGTAAATATTTTTTGTGGTGGCTCTGCTTTTAAGGTATGTAAATCTATTAGCCAAATTCCACCATTTCCATCCTTAAAAACAAAAAGATATTGTTTTATGACCGCACAAGTGATTTCTTTTCCTTAAATTCACTTTATATTAAACTCGTTAAGACCGAAATCTACAGGTTTTAAATATTTAATGTTACAATGGAAATTTATTACTTACTTGAGCATACCAGAATGTACTTTCTGGATTGTCTGATTCCTGCTTACATATACACATTAACATCGAACCATTTGTTCCATCAGTTTCAATGATGTGATACTCATAGATAGGTTGAATCTCTAGGAAACGCTCCCCATTGTGAGAATATGCTTGATCTATAGTTTCATAGAACCAAATTCGAATCCATCCATCCATACCTATAATTTATTTGTAAAAATTCAGTATTGGAATTTTTTCCTCGATTATAAACGATTAGTCAAATCTACATCAATTCGATGCATCAATATCGCATACCGGTTGATATTTTTGTCATCTTTGACCTCGTCATAATTTTTTACGTTAATTGAGCAATTACGAATATTTCTATAAAATTTTTATATCATTTCTTTCTTTGTCAATGTCCCTCTACATCGAATACATAATACGTATTATATTGTACTTTCCGACTTGATTTAATGTACAGTTATAAAGCAATAGAAATCTTACAAAGATACTTGCAATTGCTATATTAATATTATACGTATTATGTAAAAACAATTACAATAAGGTTGAAAATGACAGATATCAATCAATATTTAACATCAACTATTTATCAATAAATTGATATTGATTCGACCAATTATTTCTAGCTGGGTCTTATTTTCAAGTCTATTTTTTCAAATTAAAGACTAATTATATTTTGGTAAAAACAAATACTGAAAAAAATTCTAATTTGAAAATTTCTGCCACATTTTTAATAAATTAATGTTTCAATGTCACGTAATAATTTATAAGAAGTTATTGGTCTTATATTGCATTTATTGTATTTTATAAATAAATATATTTTCATTAATATTTGACATAACACAAGTGTATAAAAAATATGGTACAAAAAATATAATATAGAAACATATAATATAGAAAAAATTTTTACCAACTGATATAAGCTCTCCATTTATATACTCAAATTGTGTGATCGCTTTAGTATGACACGGCTGTCGATTTTTTCGACATATTTCAAGAGTAATTAAACCTCCTTCCCACAGTAAAATGTTTCCCCATTCGCAGCTTGATACAACCTAAAAACAGTATAATTCTAAATAAATCGAAATTGAATAAGAGTAAATCTGAACTGGTTAAGAAATCAGGTATACATTACTAACCAAAAGTTTCAGACCACGTGTAAATTTAAAAATATTCTAGTGAAACGCTACTTCATAGTCCGATTCAAGTTTTACTCAATTTTTTCTTTATGTGAAAATAAATAGACATTATATTTGTGGTTAACGTGTAGCATTATTTAATTTCGAGAAAGTGGACTAATGATTATAAAACCTTTTTTTCAAAATCGTATACTATTGTAGAAAATTTTTCTGTATGAATAAATAAATAAGTTTATCGCTAGACGTATAAATTGCCGGCCAAAAGTATAGGACCATTAATTGAAAATGTCTACTGTAGGACATAAAATCAAACTTTTGGCTAATAACCGCTTGGGAAAATATACAATACCTTAGAAAACCTTAATATTTTACTTTAGAAAAATAAGAAATATAAAAAGTAAATTTGGACACTTAATTTTAACTTTTATTTAAGGTAAACCTAAAACTTACTTTAATAATTTAAAAGAAAACTTTAAGAATTATGAAAAGTATGTGATATTATTTATAATACTGCATGCGGTTTTCTTACGAGAAAGTGCTATGCCGCGCGGCACTCTAGCGGAAACTTCGACAGGCTTGGCTATCTAAAAATTACTTCAAGTGTCCAAAATTATTCTAACATTTCTTAGGTAAACTTTTAACTTCTTTCGTAAACTTTAAGTAAGCTCTTAGATTTGAAAGATTACTTTAAAAAATTTTAATTTCGTTTAAAGTAAATCTTTCCAAGGGACGTATCTGAGCAATACTTACCTTTCCGTCTGGCATGATATATACACCCAGGATGTCAGAGATCTCTGTCTGACCAAATCTACCAATTTCGCCTTTTAATTTAAGCCCGGTGAACGTCTCGGAGATTTTCCAGAATTTTATATGTCCCGAGCCACTTGTCGCTAAATATCCAGATAACGACGGGGATATTGTCACATTGTAAACATCCCGATTGTAAGATTTACACTTCAATGTTACTTCAGATTTCTGCCAGTCCCAAAGGGTAAGTGTGTAATCTGGTTCTCCTCCTTGCGACACCAGCAATGAACCATTTGTGCTGCAAAAATGTGTAAAATACGTAAATCTAGTACTCGAAACATATAATACAACGTGCAATAAATGCGAATCTTTTATAAGATACCTGTATACTAAATGACAGTAGGACTTCATTGTGCCATTATGTAAAATTGTCACGATCTCCATTGAAGGCCATTTATAAATTATTATAGGAGGTTTAATACCATTTTCGCCAACAGCAATATGGTCACACGTTGGATTTTTCTAGAAAAACAGAATAATAATACCGTGAGACATCGTATTGCACGTTTTCCACATCAAAATTATATTATTTGAGAAAAATGTACTAAAATGTAACGAAAGACTTAATTTTCTTATTTATATCTCATCTTTGCTTTGCCAAGATTCTTTTATTTGCATACAATGTATGTTCTCTAAGCAAATGTGACTACATTATAATAGATATAAATAAAGAATACCGTCACATGTCCAATTCCACCACCTGTGTATCCTCTTCTAAACCACAGCTCGTTTGTTGCGGTGTTCAAGAAATGTAGAATATTACCAGACACGAAAATGACGATATTTGGTTTTACCACGCAAAGATTAAAATACCTCTGACAATCGTATGAAAATGAATGACTGATATTATCTAAGGAGCATATATGAATTTTCAATTACGAGCTCTTCATACTGCCCAACCTTATTTAAATTCTTTGAAAGCTTCAGAAAACTTCAAATTTTATTCTATAAAATTAACTACTCCAGAAGAACTAACAATGCCTAAAAATTCAAAGAAAGAAAGGAAGGAACAACAATAAAGTTTTCGAGAAACGAAATTAACGTGGGAAGCTCGATGAAGAATAAGAGAAACTCTGCTTTTAATTTTTGCCAGGTTCACTCCGTGATATTTCGTAGAGTATTCATATACGATTCACGTTATCGCGGTACCGGCAAACATTTACGCGGCTCGAAAAGAACAAGGAAATTCAGCGAGTCCCTTTACGATGATATAATAAGAAAAGGATACTGAAACTGTAAAATGTTGATGGGCACGGTCCCATTCGGCACGCGTCTTGCCCCGGATATATATTTATTCGAGTCGTAGAATCTCTCCTGTACTCCGCCATCAATTCTTCCTACTTCTCGCTGTCCCCCGTCGCTTTCCTGTGACTTGTCCTCCGACATCTCGTTTTATCGTTATAAATGTACGTTCGTTTATATTGACATCCAACGAAAGTACGAGCCCAGTTTTACTTACAGATAGAAATCGACTTCAAGGAGAATAATTAAAGTTTCCATAGATACGTCACTTTTGTTTACTCGATACGTCAAATGGAAATATATGTGCACAACTTTTATGTTACAGTTTTTTAATATGTTACAGTTTCGTAATAAGTTCTAGTTATTTAACATCCACACGACTTCTACTCCAAAATTGAAAATTACGAATACAGGGTGTCTATGAATACTTGGGATTTTTTTGGTATAGATACAGCGGACCAAACTGAGTCGAAAAGTTATCTACCATTTTGTAATTTTCGCAACAGTTAACGAATTATTAATTATAAAAAATTGCCGTCTTTGCCTGGCCCACCCATGGACGTAATGAATATATGGACGGAACGTTAGCTCAGCGGGGAGTCAGATTCGCGGTAAGGGGGGCATTTGTGGCATTTCCGGCGAGTTCGTGCTAATTCGGTGCTATTCGCTGATTTGAACTTATACGCGCATAACCATAACCAAGTAATGTACGTGCAGGGACGCAGAGATGTTGAAAAAGTACTTTATAAAAGTAACTCGTTACGGTTATCGTTATTTTACTAACTCGTTACCGTTATCATTACTTAAAAAGAGAGTAACGAGTCATTACAATATTCGTTACTTTTTATATACAAAACGAACTTTAAGTACAATCTATTTTTAATACAAGATCAAATTAAACATTGAACATTTTTAAACATATCATTTTACATTAAAGTAACAAAAACAAAATTATTTTGATAGTAATATTGTTATTTTTATAAAGTGTAAACTTACTGAATGCTGTTACACGTTTTCCTAAATTCGAAAAAATTAACAATAAAACTAATAGTTAAATTCATTACACA